TATACTTCAAGGACCATCAGGACATTATAGACATCTTCTATTTTATTAATTCTCAACAAAATAACTTAACTTAATAAAACTTAACAGTGAACTCAAAATACTAACATCACTCATAACACACTAAAACCCCTTAGTAACTCTCCAGGGTTACATTTGGATCTCTTTTTTTTTTCTTAATAAATAAATCATTTAAAACTGTTTATTTTTGCCGAAAAAGAGAAAGAAATGAGGAAAGGACAAACCCTTTTTCACAGAACTGTAAATCTGCATACAAAACACCTGTTTTGCAGCTCATAATAACAACACAATGGATTTCACTGGAGTCGCAAATTAGATCAATTTGTGAGAAATGCAAATGAAAAGAGATGATACACAGAAGATAAATACTGGTAATCTATAAGCAATAATCGTCATCCACACCCCTCAGAGGATAGGGACTGTTTTCATGAACATCCTGACAAACCTGGACATGAGAGTAAAGCAGGTGTTCGTGTGTTCACAGAACGAGAGCTGGGTTATTGATCCGGAGGCACCAGGAAACCCTGTCCTCCCATTTCCACTGTAATGAAACATAATCACTTTAAGAGTGGCAACTTTGCCATGCACAAGCCTCCAGAAGATCTGGGTCTGTGTGTGCTGTAATATGTAATCTGAATACATAAACATAGACTGAAAAGTAACTTCTCTATGTATTGTGTTTGGTACTGAAAAGGTCCATTAATGCTTAAGTAAACAGTAGCCACTGAAACACAAAACAAGGACAATAAAGTCAATAAAACATATTGGTGTGACTGCACTGCACATTATCTGGTGCTTACCATGATTTAAAATCTTATTTTTAGACAGGCCAGGTAATTTGCCTTCTTTTAAAAAGGATATGTTTGTTTCTAAGCTTTGATTTTAGATTATAAACTTAAATCAAGAATAACCATATAATTGTGTCTATATTAGTACAGAAATCCTGAAATGGAAAGAATAACTCTTAAAATAGCCTGCATTAGGTCTCTCACCGGATCTCTCTCAAAATATAACTTGTTTCAAGATGCAGTGACAAACTCCATTTGCTTGATTTAATAAAAATTCACACAAGGCATCTGTTGAATGATTTATACAAAAATCATGTCTGACTTCAAATTTTTATATAAAAGAGAAAACATTTTACCAAAATCCATGATACAAATCTCATTTCAGAGACAGCCGTTTGTCCCAGCATGCCAGCATTATTGTGGCACAACACTAACATTGGTTTAGGGAACATTTGATGAGGGTTTGTTAACCGACATCAGAACACTACACTAAGAAAATACGTTGGTGCAGCTCTAATCTTAAGGCTGATTTCTATGGGAAATGATATCAGAAAGACTCTATGTTATTGGCACAAACACAATTTCCCTGAAACTAACAGAACAGTATGACGTATAATCAATGGGCTCATGTGCTAATTCTGTAGCATGAACTGATACAGGTGTTCTTCAATCTTACTTTTCAGTCGCAGTACAGTTTGTAAAGAAATAATGGGAACTTATTTGTTCTTGCTCTTTGTTCTTGCTTTTTCAAAAGAATCAGCATCTGTCCACAAGACTGTTTCAATTTGTTGTCGCTGTATTCACAGTGTCTGTATTTGCTATAAGCAAAACCAACCCCTTCTTTAAAGCCAGCAATCTCATGCTGGGATAGCATGTTTCCGCAACTGGCTATAAAAAACACCAAACTATTCAATTTCACCATTTGACATTTCAATCCTTACACCACTGTAAAGCAGTGATAGATCTTGAAGAATTCTTTTCGGTACAACATCAACACCCCACTGAGCAATGTCATTTCCTTTAGCGATAGCAAGAAAGTCATATTGCAGCTAACTTTGACCTAAATTTTGAATCAATATTTTCTAAAGTACAATAAAACATAACCAATGTGTTTGCAGAAGCATGGGACCCTAACGGGTTACATATTATAATTGTGTACAGTATTAATTGCAATGCATTTGGCCTGTAAATATGGGGTGAGATGTAAAGAGGGATCCGTTTGTTAAATCATGGAAGAATCCCTCTCTGCTTCTTTGTGGTGCAGTGTTTTCAATTTCAATTTCAATTAATGGTACGTAGTAAAAACTTTTGTTGCTTATGGACATGACCCTTCAAAGACCTTGCTTTACCCAACAAATCTTCTGGGATACTACTACTTCCTGTGAGTTGACTGGGCTGAACAGTTCCCCTATGGCTCTACTCTGTCCATAGCAATGCTGGAGAAAGGATCCATGAACTTATCAAATGTAGCCAACGCCTCATCTTGAAGCTGAGTGGTTCTCTCGGCATGATCTTCAAACACTGCCCTCAATTTTTCCTTGAGCGTATCCAGAAGAACTGCCTGATATTGTTGCACTCCTGAGATGATATGTTTGACCGTTCTCTGTGAAAATATTTGACAAACAAAGTTACTCCAAACACTTGGCCAATTCTAAAATTCTTACACAACAGGTATAATCAGTTACACCTGATGATTAGACCATAAAAACAAAGAAACAAAAACAAAGTGAATGAAGTTGATTACTGTTAAAGCTGTGAAATGGAAGAAATGGAAAAGTAGTTAAAGGTCAGTTAAAGACAATAAAAAAGGGGTTGCCCATTTTCTGATGAGACAAGACAAGAGATTGTGTTCATGAGAACGAGATTTTATCTTGTAATTAAGGAATTTTTGTTCGCACTTAGATATTAGTTTGTTTACATGTTTGTTGTATTTATTAAATTATTTATCCATCCATCCATTCGCTTCCGCTTATCCTTTTTCAGGGTCGCGGGGGGCGCTGGAGCCTATCCCAGCTGTCATAGGGCGAGAGGCGGTGTACACCCTGGACAGGTCGCCAGTCTGTCGCAGGGCCAACACACAGGGACGAACAACCATTCACACTCACATTCACACCTAGTGACAATTTGGATTATCCAATTAACCTATCCCCACAAGCTGCATGTCTTTGGACGGTGGGAGGAAGCCGGAGTACCCGGAGAGAACCCACGCAAACACGGGGAGAACATGCAAACTCCACACAGAAAGACCCCGGCCTGATGGTGGAATTGAACTCAGGACCTTCTTGCTGTGAGGCAACAGTGCTAACCACCGTGCCCGTTATTTATATATTTTAAAATAATGTAATTTAGATTTTCACGTAGAATTGATGTTTATATAAATATATATGTCATATTTTTATTGTATGCATTTATTATTTTATTTAATTTTCCAAAGAATCATGCGCATACGTTTTGGCAGTATTTCTGGCCAATAGATTTTGTATTTTTTTGTTTACTTTTTTTACAGGGCTTTCAAATACTGTCTTATCTGTAACTGTACTGAGCATTTGTAACTCCTACGAGATGCCCAAATTGCTGCCACATGAACGATTTAAACAAGCAAAGTGTCTTTGATGCAAACTACACCAGGAGACATGCCAGCCGCAGAGTGCGTGCCTGCTCCGGCTGCAACGTGACCTTTACACTCATCCTGGTGATTTACAATCCAACCATAGTGAAAAACACTTGAAAATGGAGAAAATGAGTAAAAGTAATATAGGACCATGGCTGTGTCATCAGAAGTCACACTACATTTTATTTAGGTTAACACTTACTGTGGCTGTCAACCTGAGGCTCCTGCGCTTCAGGCAAAGATCCACGAGTTGATATTTCCACAGTGCTGGTTGTTGTTGTAGTACCACAGTTGGCAAACACAGAACCAGACAATTTTTCCGATCCTACAGAGTGGGATGTTGGGGAGATCCTCCATCCTCTTGGTGGGTTTCCATTCGTCAAATACAGAGGGTGCGTCCGTTTAATGTGGCGAAAGAACGAGTTAAAAACTCCTGTTCACAGCCATCTTTTCCACAATTAACCACCAAATCCTGCCTTCGACCACGAGCTGCATTCATGTGGCTTAGGAGCACATTCAGAGTTAAAGAAACAAAGATCAAACAGATCATACATCTCCAGAGCGCCATGGTGAACTGTTTATGTGCTGTAGCCATGCGGCATACCTTACCGCTCTCCACCGAAGTCCACAGATGAGAGCGTGGGACCATGGGAAATGTAGGCAATTTTAAAAATATATTTTTCCTTAATTATCCAATTTTTCAGTTTTAAATTATGTCAATTATTTTTATTTTTAGGCAATAAGCATTTTAGACTTCATTTTTGAATTTTGTGTACTTTGAAAAAAATATATAAATAATTTTCTGCACATTCTCAGTTCCTGTCATGACCTTACTTTCTTGGGACCAAATCATTTTCCCTGCTTTGTTAACCAACTGGACCGTTACACGATGAAAATCATTTATTTAAAAAAAACAAACAATAGTTTAAGGTTGGTAACATTAAGTTCAATAATTACATTTATGAAGGACACTATAGTATAACTGTGCTATTAAGATAAAGTCGTGTTTTGTGAGGGCCGCTAGTTAGCAAGCTAGCTAACATGATCATTAGCTAAATGACTTCAGCTGTGGGATATTGCTACTGTGAGCGGAGGCTTTGGAATCGAGCTAGAGAACCGCTGTCACGGCTTGGATGCGTTTGACCATACTGTCTGTGTTGTAACTAAGAATATTATAATTAATGTTATCATTAATATTATTAATATTACAATTAATGCTAGAATATATTACGGTCTAGCATTAATTTGCCTAATTGTGTATTTTTTTTATATCCCGCAACTGTTATTGCTTAAGACTGCTGAACAAGATGCCAACACTTGCCATCGAAGTGGGAGTAACCCCTTAGGCTTTGATGTGTCTGAATGTCAGCCTCAAACTTCCAGTCCCATTTCCTACACTGCAGACAAAACAATGAAAATGCCAGACCCACCGGAGTATGTGGTGTATACAGATTCAGAACTGGACATGGTGCGCAGTCAGTACTTTGCATTGCTTCACAGTGGAAAGGAAAAGGACTGTAAGATGTCGAAGGAGCTCTGTTGCAGACTTATAAGGAGCACAGTCACCAGCATGGTTGCAATCCTCCATGCTAGTCCCATGAGTAAAGAAGTAAGACACCCCTCCAAACTTGAAATGAGAGCAATGTCACAGAAGATTGTCAACTATTACCCCATGTTACGTGATGCTGACACACACATGCCATATGTAAGTCATTCTTTACCCACTACAATATCTAAAATTGAGCGAGATAAAAAAATAATGTACAAATATATATTATTTTACCACAGCTGACCATCTACACCAAACTGTACAAACGACTCCAAAATATGAAGTGTCCAAGGAGGAAGCAGGGCTCCATGCTGCAGCGAGGCAGGCCCAGGAAGATTATTTTCAGCTCAGACGACACAGGCAATGGGACTGAAGGGGACCTAAGTGGCGAAGCAAGTGGTTCAAGTGACTATACCATACTTGACCTCAGCAAGGACAACTCAAATGCAGGTGTGTACTCTGGTCTGCTGTAGTAATGACTTTTGGACATATAAAACTTCAAACTTTTGTCCTCAGTTTTCTATTCAGAGTGTATTGCAAGATTTAGACAGTTTTGAATATTTGCCTTAACTTTCTAGCCATTTCCTGTTATTAAATTCTGTTCATCCTCTACTTTTTTTCTCAGAGAAAGCATCAAAATTCCAGCTACACTCTACTGTACCAACACAGTCAAACAATAATACCCAGGCTTCACCACTGTTATCTAAGTCAGCCTCATGCTCTGCACCCAGGGCTGCTATAGGTCCACCAACTCCAGATGACGATGTTGGTAAGTCCACCATCACCCTTAGCTACCTCTCTATCTGCTGACTGTCTCCTCTTACAAACTGTTCCACTATATGGCTACAACAATGAACCCCTTTCTAAATGTGTATTCCACACAATGGTGTGTCAACATATGATATCTCCCTCATACCATCTTGCCAGTTAGCCATAGCACACACACAGTGTTGCACACAATCACCAGACAGTAGTATATATTTTAATACCTTGTGTTGTAGTGGGTGTTATTCAGTACTGATTATTTACACATGTAAATCCTCATGCTGGTCACATCTATCATGCTTTATCACAGTGTTTCTGTCATAGATCAAATTACCTAAAAGATTTTTATCCATCAGCTCATAATCACTGTCCACACTGTTGTGAATGGTATACACAGTAAACAAACTGTACCTTGTTTTCACAATGATTTTATTCATGGGCATCTTTAACTTTCCTTTTAATATTTGATTCTGTTCGAAGTAACAATTAACATAAATCCATGATCATTATAGGACAAGGACATAAAGGGAAATCATCAGGACATGTAGGGTCAATTCATTACTTAAACATATTTAACCCAAACATTAATTCTCATAAATATTAAACTGAAAACAGTCACTTAAAAATAATCCTACAACCTTGTTAGAAATGACTGATTAGAAAAATCTGGATTTTCTGAAGTCTAGTTACACCTTGTCTTACAATTGCTCTTTGCTTTCCCTAGCAGACCATGACAGCCTGAAGATGCAGGCAAGACATTACAAAACCTTGAGCAACATGTACAGGAAACCCAATGCAAAACCCAACCAAAGTGACGTTGCTCAAATTTTGGACTGGAGTTTGAGGCCACACGAGCTTTTATTGATGCAGATGTTACAAGGGAAGAAGACAGGCCCACAAACATATTTGAAGCATACCTGTGCTTCAAAGACATAGGAAATGTAAGTTCAACTACCTTCAGTTAAATTCCTTGCTTTTCTCTGGATAGGTTTAGTTAGTTCTTGACTAACTGAGCACAACCTTGTCATAGGCGATGGATGAACTGCATCGCATCGTTGGTGGTTCCAACTGCAAATACATAGATCACATGGAGGGTCGATGGGCAGAGTTTTGATTGAAGGTGCAGTTCTTTGGCATTTAGAAGAAGGTCCTGAAACCTCCTCTCCCCTTGGAGGTAAGTGGCCTTTTCATACATTAAATCCATCAGATATGTTCAGATTACTTTATTAAGATACTTTTCTCTGTCCACGGTGGAGTTTACTGTCACTCTCTTCAATGCACTTCCATCTCTTTTTCCTTCACCAACTACACCACCGAAGTGCCAGTGAGGCTCTCCTTCATATCCTCAAGGTGAGAACAGCTGCAATACCAGCCACTGTAACTTGTACTCCATTTACTTGTATTATTATTATTATTATATTATTATTTTGCTTTTCATGCTTAATAAGAGAGGGTCAAAGTTCAATTCAGCAGGGATTAAATTACTCCTTATTCAGGATTTCTAAATTGTCATTTAAAACCTACTCCAGAGAGGCAGCACAGAGCAAAAGCACATTGCAGTCGGGATACAAGTAAAATGGGTAAAATTATATATTTAAAAAGGCCTTCAAAAACTAGAATATGTAACAAAGTTTTAAAAAAAAGCACAAATATACACGATAAAAAGGCTGTAAACTAGAGAAAATTCATGCTCAGAATTAATACATTTCCAAAATTTCATTTATTTCTTCTATTCCAACAGTAAATCATTCTAAACATTCTTGCTTTTGCTTTTTGTGTCTTAAGCTGTTTGGATGCACAGCAACCCTTTCATTTAAAATCGTGAAGAATTTGTCCTCTTTTGTGCTTTTCTAGCCGGGTGAAGATGATATACCTGGAGAAGCGGCCTCTCTCCTCCCCAGTGCTGCTTTTTGCTGGGACAACCAGCATTGTTGCTGTAGGAAACATACCAGTGACCACTCTCCCCTTGGAGGATTTCTGGGAAGGAATGTTGGTGTTGATGGCATATTACTACACCTTGCACCTAACATACCCAAAAATGTGTTGCAACGGTCCTCTCTCATTGTGAAACCTGGCCCCACCTTATCATGCAAATTCCTGAGGTCAGATGGCCCAGGATGTGACATTGTGCACATTGAAGAGAACGGCAACCTCAACATCGAAGTTTACCGGAAGCCCACACACACGGACCAGTACCTCCTCTTTGACTCCCATCACCCTCTGGAACACAAACTAGGAGTAATCAGGACCCTACACCACCGGGCAGAATATGTTCCCTCTAAGTCTGAAGGAAAAAAGAAGGAACACACACATGTAAAGGAAGTGTAGCACTTGGTAAAGTGTAAAGCTAAAATATGTCCAAAACATTGCACGAATCTGTTGGTATTTGTGTTATTCAACTATATGTTTGGATTTTTGGTTGCTACATGTTTTTCCACCAGTAGGGGGCAGTCACGGAAAAAGAAAAACAATGTTCGGAAAAAAAAAAGAAGAAGAGTGTATTCTTGGGCTCTGTATGTGAAAACCACGGTTCTGAAGTACCCAAATAAACTCGGTTCTGCTGTTTACACCAAGTTGTCCTGGAGTGGTGTAACAGAAGCACTTAAAACATGTGGTTATCCTAAATGGGCGTTCTTAAAGTCAGCAAAGAGGCACAGAAAAGAAGATCAGACACCAGCGAGGGAGGATAAGAAGGACAGACGCAACAACATTGTCATCCCCTATGTAGCCGGTGTCAACTCAGGAGAGTTTTCTCCAAGCATGACATCCCGGTGCATTTCAGACCCAGCAACACGCTCAGACAAAAACTGGTTCACCCGAAAGACAAAACGCCAAAACACAGACTTAACAATGTGGTGTATGCTGTACAGTGCAGCGAGGAATGCCCAGACCTCTACATTGGAGAGACCAAACAGCCACTTCACAAGCGCATGGCACAACACAGAAGAGCCACCTCCACAGGACAAGACTCAGCAGTCCATCTGCATCTAAGGATAAAGGTCACTCTTTCGAGGATGCCAATGTTCACATTTTGGACAGAGAGGACAGATGGTTTGAAAGAGGAGTGAAAGAAGCATCTATGTCCACTGTGAGCGACCATCTTTGAACAGAGGCGGGGGTTTACGACACCAACTCTCTGCCATCTATAATCCAGTTTTGAGATCCCTTCCCAGACGCCTTAACGCCCACTCACATCCTGGGCCATCTGACCTCAGGAATTCGCATGATAAGGTGGGGCCAGGTTTCACAATGAGCTCACCCGAAACTCTGGCTGATTGGGACCCACACCCAGTTTCACACCTTGGCTCAGGCGATTAGAGGATCATCAGGGGGTCCTTTTGTCCCTCTGTGGGGGGATAACTCCCACTAGGTTTATATCTGGGACTCTCCACCATTTGACCTTAGAACTGAAGAAGCTTCTCGGATGAGAGGTGAAACGTCTTCAAGCAACTTAAAGAAGTCCAGACGCTTTTCTTTGCAAGCTCCTTTGACTACGATGACCTGGATGACTGAGAACCTTCACAGACATACATACTGAATATTATGTCACTTATTTTGTGCAAATGTTATAAGATAATGTGTTGTGAACGAGCTGACGGTTCACTCGTTAAGCTGAAAGAAAGATGCTTTAATCACAGCAGTCACACATGTGTCCACTGCACCATCTGGGACTCTTCTTGTTTACACTCGTAATAACACAAACACTAAATCCTCCTGTTTGTAGCAGTGTGTACACCTGAGACTGTCACCTGTCTGTCTGTCCTGCACTCTCTCTCTGTTTCTTTCTCTCTGATTGTGGAATAAAAGTATGAACATGTGTTTATAAGTTACACCTTGGCTCAGGCGATTAGAGGATCATCAGGGGGTCCTTTTGTCCCTCTGTGGGGGGAAACTCCCACTAGGTTTATATCTGGGACTCTCCACCATTTGACCTTAGAACTGAAGAAGCTTCTCGGATGAGAGGTGAAAGGTCTTCAAGCAACTTAAAGAAGTCCAGACGCTTTTCTTTGCAAGCTCCTTATTCAGTACTTACTTTTAAAAGTTTACTCTTCGGCCGCCCCGCTTCAGGCATCCGCCGTTTTTTTCAGAAAAAAATATCCACACCCACCACCGCGCTATGAATCCTGGGATATGTGGGGCCATGAAGTCTACACAAGACCACACTTCAAATTTTGGAAATCGATGGTGCATTTCTCGACAGCATTTGGAGTACACTTGGGACACCCTTCGTCGCATCGCTGTGACGTAATCGGTCTCCAAATGCGCACTACGAAGCCTGCGGTCGCTGAATTGGGACACAGCCAAGGTTTGTTAAATGTTTGTTAAGTTGACCTCTTTCATGAGCCCACTTGGTTCTTAAAACAGTTTGTTTCTGTCATTTTGAATTTTTCTAATAGTTTAGTCTTTTTGGGGTATAAAACCCCATTTTGTGAAGATTATACCTGTGCCTGTATGTTCTTGGCGGCTTGGTCCCTGATAACAATCCATTAGAAACACAGAGAAAAGGAGCTGAAAGAAGGCAAAGAGCCTTACATTACATTTACTGCTATGCAACTCAGACTTCAACAACCACTTGGATGACACATATAATTAGTCATCAGCCTGCTAACAAGTGCAAATGGAGCTCATGTTGTTGGGGAGTAAAATAAACAAGCTTCTTTATTAAACACTTTTCACAGATACATACATAGATACAATAAAACAGAGTCAATTCAACAAGAAAATAAACTGCTGTAATAAAAGATTAAGACACAAAATTAAGTGAACAGGCAATCAACAGAAAGCCTGGTTACATTAAAAAAAACCTGTTAACTATTTGTAAATCCACAGTCAGCTAAGCATAATTACAGTGAGAAACTGTTCCACAGTCTCGGTGTCACAGACTGAAGGGCTCTGCCTCCTCTACTCTTTAATCTTGTACAAAGAAGATCAAATTCTGAGCCTGTGATCAAAGACTGCAGGCTGCAGAGTGTTTAGGACATTTAGTGCTCTGTATGTATTTTAAAACAAATCCTAAAATCTTCTGAGAACCAGCATAACGAATATAAAATAGGAGTAATGTGAGCTCAGTCATTAGATCATGTTCGTAGTCGGGCCACAGCCTTTGTATCGCTTGGAGGCACGAAAGAGATGATTTATATAAGCCATTAAATAAGGCATTACACTAATCTAAGCACAATGACACAAATGCATGAATTATTATCTACAGTTAAGCCAAAAAGACCATATGTCACAACTTATAAATGTCCCTTAATCGAAGGAAACAGGAACAAGAACTAAATTTTACACGTGAAACAGAAACTAGCAAGGAATCAATATAAAGCACCGATTTTAACTTAGCAGTTAAATAAAAGGAGGTAAGACCATGACTGGTTTTAGGAGGAACTATGATCATGGTCTCAGTCTTGATGGTATTTTAACAAGGTAATTGCTAGAGAGCATGTATTTGCTCTAACAGTGAAGGTCCTATTAGATAAATAAGAAAACCAATGTAACACAGAGGCAGAGATCACAGTCAGAACATTAAGCATATGCAGTGATATGTCATCATGGGCGTCAGGAGCAATCACAGATTAGTACAGGCCTTCAAAGGAACAGTTTTAGTAGGATGTTTCTTTTGAAAACCAGACCGAAACAGGTTTAAAAAAAATCCCAACACTGTTTATAGATTCCTGTAAGTAGCTTTGTTAACAGCGCTGCGACCCCTCAGCCTTCTCTCAGTGCGCTTCATGATGTAGTCACCTGAAATGGTTTCACTTCACAGGTGGACCTGTCAGGGCTCATTTTTGGAATTTCTTTCCTTCTTAATGGGGTTGGGACCATCAGTTGTGCAGCAGTCAGGTTGGTACACAGCTGACAGTTCTTTTTGACAACTGTTAGAATCCATATTACAGGAAGAACCAATCAGCTTAAGTAAGTAAAGGTGAAACAACAGTTCATCATTACTTTAAGAACTGAAGGTAAGTCAGTCCAAAAACCTTTTATAATGTTGAATGTGTCCCTAAGAGCAGTCGCAAAAACCATCAAGCACTACAATGAAACTGTCTCACATGAGGACCAGCCCAGGAAAGAAAGACCAAGAGTCCCCTCTGCTGCTGAGAATACATTCATCCTAGTCACCAGCCTCAGAACATAAACAGCAGCTCAGATTAGAGCCCAGATAGATGCCACACAGAGCTCCAGTAGTAGACACATCTGTACATCAACTGTTCAGAGGAGACTGTGTGAATCAGGCCTTTATGGTCAAATAGCTGCTAAGAAACCACAAATAAGGAAAAGCAACAAGCAGAAGAGATTTAAAGAAACACAAGCATGGACATTAGACCAGTGGGAATCTGTGCTTTGGGCTGATAAATCCAAATGTGAGCTCTTTGATTCCACCTGCCGTGTCTTTGTGCCGAAAAGGTGAACGATGGTCTCTACATGCATGGTTCCCACTGCGAAGC